TTTTTCCGCTCCGATGAGGAGACCATTCATCTGTAGGACATCCAGTGTTGCTAAGGATAGGTCGTGAAAAAATTGTCACTGGAGCCACAATAAGCCAGGCTGCAAAATACAGACTTTTTCGAAATCGGGAGTGCAGAGTTTAGCGTTTGGTTGTGAACCAGGCCACGACCCGATTCAAGTTTAATCCCTCAGTGATACATATCTCCAAGATAAAGGTCAAAGGTCACAATGGGACTTTATTGGCTCGGTCGTAACAGAAGATGAAGGGATAAGGTTTTTACTGTCTTTCTCCGCTTTGTCTAAGGACGGAGAATTACTCAGCTCGAAATCACCTGTGCACACCATTTGTAAGACAGGAAGTGCCAAAGGAATAGCAGATATTTGATGTCGTTCCTGTCTTCAAAATAGATGTTATATCTGAATATCAGCCAATTATCAGAGTGCCCGTTTGATCATGATCGCTTCCAAGTTGCCCACAGATATGATCCCACGCAGGAATACCAGCACCTTTGTGAGGAGAGCCGTGAAAACCAAGCAGAGTTCCGTTCGGGTCGTGGCTGCATTTACCATATCTCTACCTCACGACAACTGCTGGAGCATCGTCACACAGAAAAACAATAATTGTTGTTCTCATGTCTGAACGTAATGTCCGGCTCGGTCGCGCTGCTTTGTGGGGATGTCTATCTTTCAATGGTGTGCCACGCATTTTCTTCACAGTCCTCCAACCATCATACTATATACCTGCGGGCGCGTTAAGGTCTGCTGGGAATACTCTCCCAACATGACCAAAAGTGGTGCCCTTCAGGCTTACTGTTTGTCACCTTTTCTCCATAACCTAATAGTGGATTAATTAAGTGAGAAACTTTTGTTGTCTTTCACCCTAATTTTGGACCTTCTTTCCTGGGAAGCCCTTAAATTCATTGAATATTTGGCCAATGTTGCGCTACTTCTTTCAGTTTCCATTCAGATAAGAAACACACCAAATAACCTAAGTGATGTTACCATGCGTTTCGAATTGCGTCTCTCACCCTCAAAGTACGAAGTGCTATTATACGACTGGGCGAGCGCGCCACTAAAACAGGCTATGGTGTCAGAACCAAGTTACTGTCTGATTTCGTTTCCCCATCCTGCTGCATTCGGGGATTAAGGCGACCCGGTCGATGGCATGATTTCTTCTTCCAGGATGGGGACCGCGTGATCCTCGCTGTGCCTGGTTGGAGACACTACAAGATATGGCTGGCACCCGATGTCAGTGGCGTTCTTGTTGTCAGTTTCTGTCCAGATTGCCTGAGTGAATGTTTGGAGGTGTAGGCACCTCGGAATGATTGTGTTAAGCTAGCACTAAGTCCCTCCCCCATCCACCTTTATTCTTTTCTTTACAATAAGGCTTTCAAATAAGTCATGGCTGTACGGCAGTGAAGCATTGGTGTTGAGCGCTGATGTCATGCTGTCGTTAATGATGATGATGATGCCCGCCACCAGGATCAGTGACATGTCATGTCCGATGGAACCCACCCAAAGATGCGCGAAGGTCCCACAATGTTCATTTCGGTAGTGGCCGATTTTACTTGGAGATGCCACGTCATGATCTGTCCTTCGCGAACCTTTTTCCAAAATGGATTTGGCATAGAAAACAGCCATCTTTGGTAGGCGGTCGGATATACGCAGTGCACACATCAGCCGCCTTAACCTGGCAAGTTTCACCTGCCTGTCAGGCTACCTACCTGTTCGCAGACATGCCTAATCTCTAGGACGATAACTTGCAATGATAACGGACTACTGAACTACAATCAGATAGCTCTCAATTTAGGCAGTATTATTAATCATTGACAGATATCAACTTAGGGAATGCATGATCGCTAGACTACATAGCACTCAAGCAGACTGCGTTTTCTCCTATCCAAGCAACTCATGATGGCTTAGCAGTGTTCCAAAGGGTGATACTGTTCACTTTCTTTACTTGCATACGGATAAGTATCAGGAAATTATGTCGCTCTCCAGTTAGCCGAGGGCCAAGACAGTGATTTTCAGCTACTACAATGATTAACCAAAACGCGACGAAAGGAGAGACGTGTGTAGACCATCGTTTCAGTTAAGTTTAGTTACGATAATAATAATACAGTGACAACACGGTAGCTGAAAGTCCCAACGTTGGGACTGATGATGGTTGTAAAAGGCAGAAGGTACAGCGCATAGTGCAAGCTAAACCTGCAATCAACTGGAGGATGTAACGCTACTCACCTGCTTTTCGTCCAAGCTTTTATCGCTCATGATCATCGACAGAGCTGCAGGAGACATCATCGGAGGAAAGGGAGGTAGGCCACCAATACCGTCTGGCGGTGCACCGAGGAATCGTGAGCCGGCAGAAGGTGAGGTGAAGGAAGATGAAGTGGGGGAAAAGGAACTCTGACCAACGGAACCGGGAGTCGCGTGATAAGGACTTGACATAAGCGTAGATGGCGGGGCTGCTGAGTTGGATAGAGAAGAAAGAGGCGCGCCTGATACATTGACCGATGACCCTGGGAAAGACGGTGCCATGTTGTTCATATGTGCAGGCAATTGGGAGGGGAACACATGACTACTACTATTAAGCATGGGGTTCAGTGGTTGATTAGGATTTCCGGGCGCGTTTGGAGGAGGGAAACCAGCAGCAATTGCCATTGCAGCAGCAACCGCTGGATGCGACTGTGCCAGTCCAGAAAGGAAGGCTGGAGATCCACCGGGGACGGAGGTAGATGGGTTAGGAATATTGCCCAAGGAATTTGTGCAAGGAGCGGTTGAGGCTGGAACCATGAGCTGGGACAAGAAGGGATTCGGTGGGAGCGCCAAATTTGGATTACTGTTTCCAAGTGATGGAAGTCCACTAGGTAACCCAGAAATCGCTGTGCACGGTGGTGTGGCATTAAGACCAGGAGTAGTGCTAAGCGAAGATGCCGGCAGGCTGGTTGACGTCCTTGGACCAGACATTGAAAGTGCACCAGTGCCATCCGATAGAGGTCCAAAAGATGGTGAGTTGAAGCCATGAGGAAACCCTCCAGGTAAGTTGGCGGAACCTCCAGCTAGTAAAAGTTGTTGTTGTTGCATAGTCTGAATAGAAATAAATAGTGAAAGACAGTCGGATGAGACACTGGTACCGTACAGGCCAATCTGCGACACAAAATAATCCGTAGAACATTGTTCTGACGGTTTCCGAGGCGCATTACCAGGCACAGTTTTTTCATATACCAAAACTGCTAGTAAAAGCATTGACAAAAGAATGAAAGGACCATTCTACAAGGTAGAAAACATCAAAGTGACCGAATGAGTTTTGGTTACAGCGAAGTGCGCGACTTCTTTGAAAGTCACGTCACAACAGTTAAAAATAACTGCTATTGGTCAGACGCAGAAAGCAGTGCAGTGTTTGGGAAGAAGAGGAACGTTCATGGGCGGCGACTAACTAATGCTACATAATGGAAATATAAAGTGGCTAAACGATTTGTTAGAATAACCTGCCTCTGAATTTAAAATTCCTCAGATGCCTCGTCACAACCATAACAAGTACACGAGCAAGTAAAATACGCGCATCCAAGGGATCTGGTGAAACTGGTGGGACAGTTAACTGGTCGGTTGTTTCGGTAAGGCATTTTAAAGCGAAATTAAATCACAACTTTGGCACTCCCTCGATGCGTAACCATCACATGACCCAAGATAAGCAGGGAAGCTGAGACTCTACTAAGTTGTCCAAGTTTAGATAAGAACAATCGAAAATCAAAGGGTGGGTTCGGATTTATTGCCGAAGGCAGTAAGACCAAGTTGACTTATCCTTGCGAACTAGTCTACAGATTGGAGATTGATCTTAACACACAGTATGTATTCGCACATGAGTAGAGAATAAATTGCTGCTGAGTCCCCTGAAAAAAGAATACTAACCCAGTGGATGATAGAAAACCCTTTCTAACGCATTTTGGGATTTGTTTAGGCACTATCTCGTTTTTTATTTACAACCCAAATCAAACAATGGAGGTGAATAAAAAAAAACAGCGTTTTGGTTTCACATGGCTGGCATTCAGGGAAACAACAAGCCACTATGAAGGGATAGTTTGTAACGAATACAGAGTAGCGCTGCATAGTTGAAAAGTTGTTCAGTCTTTATTCACGGCTATACACGCAAAACCTGGGGGATGGCGCTATTTGACACAAATATGTTTGATGAATTAGTGTGGAGTTGACTTGACACAGTGGAAAATGCAGTTTGGCCAAACGAAGGTTCTACAAAAAATGACGTCTGAAAGCTAGATGGCTTACAAAGACAGGTGGCAAACATAGAGCAACATAAGAATCAGAATGTTATCACTTACGTAATAACTACCTCGGAGGATGGGGTCAGAAAGGTTAAGCTGACGGTGAACCTGTATCCACAAGCCGGTTGACTTAACCTAAGATACTTTACATTTCGAATGCCGCCTTTGTACGTCCTTTGAGTAACTCTCTTGCACGTTGTCAAGTGGACAGACAAAGGTAGCGTGGCCAAAAAAACATGGGGTCATAAAACAACCCTGGCGGTTCGCAGCGGTTTGAAGAGGGTACCTCAGTGTGGTCGATAGCGAACCCTACAAATACTAGCTAGGGCAGCTCATGTGGTGTTCGTTTCAAAATGCATCCAAAAACCTGCCACTGAAGAAGTTCTATTATCTGCCTTCCCGTGTCAGTTCTCACTAAAAAAATGTACTAAAGCGGGAATTTCATGGTCACACAGGGTTGACAGCAACCGATGCCAACCGATGTCAGTGGCGTTCTTGTTGTCAGTTTCTGTCCAGATTACCTGAGTGAATGTCTGGAGGTGTAGGCACCTCGGAATGATTGTGTTAAGCTAGCACTAAGTCCCTTCCTCATCCACCTTTATTCTTTTCTTTACAATAAGGCTTTCAAATAAGTCATAGCTGTACGGCAGTGAAGCATTGGTGTTGAGCACTGATGTCATGCTGTCGTTGATGATGATGATGATGATAGCAACGCGTTATTTGTCTAAGGTGGTCAAATAAACCATGAAGTTAAACCATCGATGGTAAATGAAATAAACAAGGACACGAAAACCGAACGCTGCTCAAAGACGAGAAATCACTACTCAGACGCCGAGCCACCACGGACTTATCTGAATACATGGGGTTCGGGTGTTATGAGCATTTGGGACGCCTTCCCCCATCGTAAAGGTGAATAAGCCATAGAAACTATCCCCACTGTGGTGGGCTACGAACTCTTTATTTCCGCATACAACAAATCTCTTCAAAATAGGTTATCTAAAAGTACACCGCGCAAATGACAAACGTGGAACGGTACTTGACTATTGGCTAAACAATGAAATACGGTCTGTCATCAACTGCATCAGAATCACGCCTTGTTGTTGGCCAGAAGGACGAAATTCCCCACAATGAAATAGATATTCAATTTAATCTGCTCTGAAATGATTAGTTACGATGAGAAGTAGAAGCTAGCATGGATGATGCCAGGAGAGCATCTACGTAGTTCAACATCGAGCTAGAGAGATGTTCAAAAATCATCATTCAAACGAAGATCCGAATGTAAATTACCATCGCTAGACCTGATGAGGTATTTGACTGTTGGTGCTTACGACAAATAGTAGAAACATGTTGCAGCGACAATGCCTACTGGCTATTGGAAAAGTGCGTGACGAAGTGAAGAGCGAGTGGATGTAGAAAACTTGTTATCTACATTTTAGAGTTGTGATAGTCTATTCGTTCTAGCATCTATTTTTCACAACGGGGTGCTTTGACATTAGGGTCCGCTACCATGACGTTCTGCACATTTTCAAATCGACCCAGGGCCGCTGACTACTGTATGTACTGTATATCCTCCGCAAGCTAGATCCCGAGCCGCCATTAATCCTGCTCAGAATGATGTTGCCATGTCGACAAATCGGAATTCAGCTCTCAACAGTTAGGGCTGATGTTGAACTTTTTGATCTCCAGTTCCTTTGTGGGATCAACCAGTGGAACAAAAACTCGTCTAGTATCTTCGTACATGAGATACCGAACGCGCAACCTGGCAGCTAAGATTCTCCTCAATTAACAACGTACTTGTATGCACAGCTACTAGGCCAAATAAACATCCACGGACATCATTCGAAGACGGTGGCGAGCTCTTGTATTATGCTTCACGCAAATAGTTTAAACTTATTTGCGAGCAAGCGACCGTTCAAGCCAGCCACAACACGACTACTAGTTCCGCTTATACTGCAACATCCAACACCCGCATCTGGGATGCGAATCCGACAGCACCAAGTAGGATTCTGTTTGAGTGGAAGATGGGATGGTCAAACCTTTGCCTTACATAAGATGCTAGAGCATCGCCACGCGTAACACCGACCAACAACTCCCGTTGCCCTTGCTTTCAAATGGGCTCTGGACCCTGTAGATAAAAACATACGCATACGTACAGGGCAAGCGCGAACACCCTCGAATTTCTTAACCTTACTTTCAACACTTGTGGTCTCAAAATTGCTGGGGGCCATAAATCTGCCCTCAACCCCTTTTTGTTCGATTTTCTCATTGATGAGGTCATCGAATACACATTTCAAAGGACTGAAAAGTTGCACCTAGAGGGAAATTAGCAAGTTGGATGATAAGGATACCATTGTTCTGCTATTTGACAATTACCGGTCCGTAAGATCCATTCAAAATAGTGTTGAAAATGGTCCCAGGTTGTTCCCTGCACAGGAAAGTCTTGCTTCAGGATTTTGAAACTTCCTGTATCGCTTCGAACTCGATATTGTGGTCTCTCAGGGGCTAAAGGAGAGAGGCGCAAGTTGCGCGGCTCAAAAAAACAGGAATGACTTGGTGTACACAAATTTTCGGTCTTCCTAAGTAACTTAATCTATAGGTGATTTTGACTTTAGTTTGATTGGCGTGACACGCTCCACAAAGCTTGTAAATGCTGCTGTCCGTACAGCACTAAAGTAGCCTGGTACAAATCGACAGTCAGAGGCCACACATGTTCCAGAATGGGCGGCCAATGTCCAACCCACCGACAGTTAATGGTTAGGTGATCCATTTGAACTTCAGGCAGAATTATCGACGCAGTAACAAATAACAGGCGATAGAAATTTCAACTCGAATGGCGGGACCTATGAACAGCGAAGGTCGAAGAGAATAACAAAGGAGGGAGAAATAAACGTTTGAGTCAGCCGGTGCGCCTTGTCATATGCAGCAACACGGCTGGGCCAGGGGAACCAGGAGGCGGCTGAGACGTAAGAATTTGGGTCGCGTCACCGGTTGTTTGGGGGTTGTAGTCCTGCCAGGACGCCCCAGCCCAGAGCAAAGGCTAATGGCTCCTAAATCTGACAGCGGGGCTAATAGAACAGCACATTTTCAGAAAAATAATCAGAAATGCTTTAATCTCAACCTGGCAGTCCAGGAAGGTATTTTCAAGCACCCGATTTAAAAAGCTACCAGCTTGTCGTGGTGGTCGGAATTCAAAATTCCGATAATCCTGTGAGCAACAGTGGCTACAATTCAGTTTCTTAAGGTTCATTCATACCAGAGGGCCAACGGGAAGCAGCCTGACGAAGATAATCGAGTTCGTGCACTGTGAGAAATCGATTCTACTATAAAGTCTGAACCGTGAGACAGTGGTTGTTAGGGATTACTTGAGCGATTTCCCCCAGGGCCATTGACCTAACAGCCTGACCTACTCGGCCGCAAGAAGTTGGCCTGGTCCGAGAACGCCAGGGTTAAAGCACAATGGTCTGACTCCTAATGGGGCTGCAGGTGCCTTCTTAACAGCACCGCACTCTTCAGCTACAAAGGTATTTCGACCGTATTGAATAATGCAACCAACGTCACGGTCAATTGTTGGCCGGTAGGAGCAGAAGACAAAACGACTCTACGTAGAGGTTGCCTCCTAATACGATTTATCCCGGTACGGGGACTTGATATTCTTCGTGAGGCTGCTCACCGTAAAACTTCCAGACATGGTTGGACCTCGAGGAACTGAGTCCCAGCCAATTTAGCTTGCAGGATCATGGCGCCCCCTGAAGCCTGACCACCATGAAGAGGTGGCAGCCTTAGGTCAGTTGTGTGCTGAGCATCATG